CATTGTCTGGCACAGTTTTCTCTTCTATAAAATGGGAACAATAATAGCACTTACCACCTACCTCCTGCAGTAGTTGTGAAGATAAAATGAGATAGTATTTGTAATGCTCTTTGCAAACCTTAAAGCACTATATGAATGCTAGCTATTATTATTATCTAGTACCTAGTATAGAAGTTTACACATAATAGGCACTTAATGTTTGTTGAATGAATGCATTTCAAAGTTTCAGTTTATTCTTTGAATTTAGACTTTGATCCTCTTAGACTGCAAAATATTCTCATATGGAATAATAATTACCCTTTTTTAAATACCACATTCTTACTGAAAGAATTGTGTGACTTTAAGTAAGTCTCTTAATCCTATTTGCCTCAATTTCCTTACCTGTAAAATGAGTTGGAGAAGGAAATGGCAAACCACTGAAGTACCTCTGCCGAGAAAATTCCAATTGGAGTCACAGAGAGTCAGACACGACTAAAAACAATTGAACAACAACAATGAGAGAGTTAACCTTGTATATAAAGTGGGGAGCTGGCCTGGAATCCAGAGAACATGGGTTCAGATTCTGCCTCTGACACATACTGGTTGTGAACCCAGACCAAGTCACTTAATGTCTCTGTGCTCTGTATAAACTGCAGAGAAAGTTGCTCATTTGTTTTTTACACCCGTGAGATTCCCCTCCTGGTTCATTGCCTCATCCTAGCAGAGGGGGTTGAGCAGCTCAATGGAATTATGAGCTATGCCACCAGAGTTATCCAAGATGGAAAGGTCATTGTGGAGAGTTCTGGCAAAAGGTGATCCATTGGAAAAGGTAATGGCAAAACACTCCAGTGGCACTTCCAGGGCCAGGAAAACCCCATGGACAGTATTAAATGGTCCATGGAGTCATGAGAGTCAGACAAACAACTGAATGACTAAATAACTAATGATGCTAAAGATCCAGTCTTCATCTCCCATTTCCTCATCTTAATCAGTACCACCCATTATCCTGAATACAAGTTTTAGTTGGGACTCAAAGTTAAGTCAACAGTCACTAATTTTTTTTTAGATAATGTATTTATTTTTAGTTTTCAACATTCACTTCCATAAGATTTTGAGTTTTAAATGCTCCTTTCCCCTCCCCAAGTTGGCATGTAATCTGATGTAGGCTCTACTTATACATTCATATTAAGCATATTTTCACATTAGTCATGATATATAAAAGAATTAGAACTAACAGGAGGAACCATGAGAAAGAAGAAATAAAACAAAACAACAAAAGAAAAGGAGAGCAAATTGTATGCTTCCATCTGCATTCAGTCAACAATCATTTATTAAGCACCTACTATATACCAGGAGCTGTGCTAAACACTGGGGACACTATGAAAGACAAAATACTGTAGCTGCTCTCAAGAAGGTCACAATCTAATGGTGGAAAGAACATACAAACAACTATACACAACAAAATACAGACAGGATAAATTAGAGATTATCACAGAGGAAAGGCTCTAGCATTAATGGGAATTAGGAAAGGATTCTTGTAGAAGGTGGGATTTTAGTTGGGACTTGAAGAGGTAAGTTAAAAGGGAGAAGTGTATGTGGGAGGCAGGGAGAGAATCTGGTGGAAAAGAACTTGGGGTCTAGGTGGTTGATGGGTGTGGAGAAGAGCTAAAAAGAGATTAGCGGGAGGAGGCTGAGACCACTAAAGAAAAATCTCACCTCCTTAAAATCTGGCCTAGGGCCAGGCAGATTTTTACAAAATCTCTTTTGCTGAGACTAATAGTCTGGCTACTAGACTAGAGATCTGTGGTTGGAAAAGTGCTGCATTTCTAAAGACAAATAATTGAGTTAGATTAACTGATACAGTTGTGCAATTGTGAAAGTGAGATCCTAAGATTCAGGTCCCTGCTTATCCTACTTGAAGTCTTCTTGCCTTTACAATGCTGCTACCTAAATGAGGCGGTTAAACTCTATTAACAAAAAAAAAATTCTTTCTCCTCCATTTTCCTATCCCCCACTACACTGGTTAATTGAAGAGGTTATGTCAACCACATTGTACATATCATGCATGCCTCTTCTCAAAACTTCTCAATGACTCACTATGGCCTAACAAATCAAATCCGAACTCCTCACCCAGGCTTTAGGGGCCTTCCACAAGTCCACACCAGTTCAAAGTTCTGGTCTTATTTCACACAACACCCCACACCAATCACACTCTGCTACAATCAAACTGGACTATTCCCACAAACCCACAAACATCCTACACTGCCTTTGTTCTTATAAATGCTGACAATTGAACAAACAACTACAAAATGTTATGTGAGGTCTCAGGAAGAAGAGGTAACACAGTGTGGGGAGATTAGCAAAGGCTTCAAACGAGCATTCATTAAGCCCCTACTGTGTCCCAAACGTTGTACTAGGTGCTCGGCATCCAAGTACAAAGAATGAGAGTCCTTAATTGGAAGGAGCTTACCTTCTAAAACGAAGATAACAAGTACTTGTAGAAGTATACCTAGAATAAATACAAATTAATACAAGGTAGTTTGAGAGGGAGGGCACTAGCATTGGAGGATCAGGAAAGGTGTCCTTTAGAAGGTGGGGTTTGAGCTGCACCTTGAAGGAAGAAAAGGATTCTATAGGTAGAGGTGAAGAGGGAGCTTATTTTAGGCATAGGAAATTGCCATTGCCAAGATTTGGAGACCGGAGATGCTCCGGGATGTGGGAAGAGCAAAGGGAAGGCCAGTTGACCTAAATGGCAGAGTGCAGGAAGGCGAGTAAAGTTCAGCAAGGCAGGAAAGATAGACTGGAGCCAGAGTGCCTAAGGCTTTAAAAGCTAAGCAGGAGTTTATATTTTACCCAAGAGGCAATTGGAAGGAGACAGGCATTTGGGTTGAGCCTTGAAGAGGGGTTGGATTTTAACTGGCAGGAATGAAGTGGTTTTTGGGTTCCATGATTATGATTCCCAGGCTAAGGGCAGGAGGACTGAATCTTTTTCTAGAGTTGATTGTCATGGTTCTAATAGCAGTAATAACAATACTAACTAGCATTTTTAGAGCAGCATTTAAGGTTTACAAAGCACTTTGCATATTTTAATTTATTTGATCCTCATGACAACCCCTGTGTGGTAGTTATTAGTATTATCCTCATTTTATAGATGGGGAAACTGAGAAAGAGGTCAAGTATCTTGCCCAGTATGAGGTAAGATTCACACTCAGGTCTTCTTGACTCCAAGTCCTTGCTGAGCTCTATCCACTGTGCCATCTAGCTACTATCAGTAGTACTAAGGGTGCCGGGCTAGGACTCTCTCCAACACACAAGTAAATCCAGAAGTCATAAAAGATGGACCTAATCTTTCTCTTTCCTTAGATCGGGAAGGGAGGTAACAGAAGGAAGAAGGAGGGGGGAGAGTTCATATTGCCTACTCTGCCATTAATATAAAAGGAGTAGGCAGCAGAGGAACCTAGAACCTGGGAGTTACTATACTGGGTCACAGCTTCATAAGGCTAGGAAAAAACCTTAGCCATCATTCTGTCCAAACCCTTTGACTTACAGATGAGGAAAGGAGGCAGAGATCAGGTCAAGTGATCTCCTCAAGGTCATGTAGGTGGTACAAAAAAAGAGATCGAGAGAGACAGAAAGCCTAAGTGATAGAAATGCCTTGTCTCCCTCTCTCCATTTGCAGTCCTTCAATAAAAAGGGTCACTAGTAGAAATAATTTATATTGCCTTCTTACTGTACAATCAAAAGCATTTGCTAATTTTGTAGACAGGCAGCTCGGGGGCACAGTGGATAGGGTGCTGGGCCTGGAGTCAGGAAGACTCCTCTTTCTGAGTTCAAATCTGACCCCTAACACTTACTGGCCCTGTGACCTTGCACAAGTCACTTAACCCTGTTTGCCTCCATTCCACATCTGTCAAATGAGCTAAAGTAGGAAATGACAAATCACTCCAGTATCTCTGCCAAGAAAACTCCAAATAGGGTCACAAAGAATTGGATAGGACTGAACAACAACAATTTTGCAGATAGCAGTCATCTCCACTTTCAATCTGTCTTTATAAGCCGGCTTCCCCTTTCCATAACTCCTCTCTCCTCTCCCCACCCCCTTCCATCCTTCTGACCACTTTAGCTGCCTAAAGGGGGTAGCAGGAGCTTGAGATAAAAGCAGCTACTGACTACTGGCTCTTCCCGAAGTGGGTATGGGTTGAATTGAGCTCCCTATGCTCTCTCACAAAAATACCTAGGAACAACTCTATGATGAGACTAGGAGAGCATGTAGGCACAGACTAGGCAACAGCTAACCAGACCCTTTGGGTTTGTGGCAACCTTGACTTTATTCTAATGAGCTAACTGGTTCATGGTTAAAAGGTTGTGGTTTGTAAGGAACACAAATTGCTGGTGGTCACTGTTTCTTCTCCTTCAGGTCTGGTAGTGAAGCTTTAATTCTATCTGGAAGTATGGTTAAAGGGTGTCTTTGAAGGACATTATTGAGCAATAAGACCTACCTCACAGAATGCTGGAACTTGAAAAACTAGACATCAACTAGTCCAGGCCTGTTGATTTGAAATGGAGGAAAACAGGACCCAGAGAGGTTGTGTGATTTGCTCCAGGTCACTCAGGTAGTAAGTGGCAGAACAGGGACTAGAAACCAGATCTTCTGTTGCCTCTGGTTAATAATCTCTTCCATTCAAGGGCTCCTGGGATCATGAGATTTAGATTTGGAAGAGATCTTAGAGGCCATCTAATCCAACCTCATCACTTTACAGATGAGGAAACTGAGGCACAGAAAGAGAAAAAGGCTTGTTCGAGACCCCACAGGAAGTCAGCAGCAGAGCTGAAAAATCAAACCCGGGTTCCACTTTCAGTGTTCATTCCTAGGCACCATTTCAGAGAGGAAATGGTTAAAAGAACTCTGAGTACTCCAGTGCCTGGGAGGCACATGCTAGTGTTTAATGTAGGCAGCCTCCTTGGGGCTGGAGGTTTGGGGTTGGTCTTGTTTTTATGGAGTGGAGGTGGAGGAGGGAAGTCTTTGGGGGGAGTGGGGAGAGGGAGGAGGGTGTTGCTTTGGAGTTTTCATTTTCTCCCATGATTTCGCTCCCGCACACTCATCTCTTTTCTCTCGGTGACCAGCAGAGGTAGAGAATCTCAATCCCACTCAGCCAGACTGAGACGGGAGAATTTGGAAGACCTCCCCCAAAAAGCCACACTTAAGGAAGTTTGCAGAAGCTGCGGCAGCGGCAGCGGCAGCAGCAGCAGCTGGAAGGGCTAGAGACTGCAGCCACTTCTTCCTCTGTCGCTGCTGCCTCTGTCCTGGAGTCCGCGCCTGGAAGGACATCCCTGCTCGCCTTGACTTTGTTGGGCTTCGTGAATCTCATGCCTGAAACGGGGACTCGGACAGCTGCTAGTGCCCGGAAAACCAGCCCGGCGCGGACCTCCAGGGTATTTGAAACTCTTATGCTTTTCGAGGACTCCGACCTAGAAGAAGAGGGGAGGTAGAGAGACGCTTGGACAGCCAGCCTTATAGGGGGTGGGGAAGGAGAGAGATCAAGGATAGGAGTGGGAGTGGGGGTGGAGGTCCATGCAGCGTCTACTTTCAAAACCACTTAGTTTGATAGAAACCTCTAGTTGGAGGCTTACACTGCAGAGTGTAACCAGCCCTGTCTGGGGAGCGGAGGATTGAACTCAATGCAAATGATATTGATTCTGAGGGATATTGCTGTCAATGGAAGGTGATATTGATCAAAAGCTACTGAAGACTGAGAGGAGGAGGAGTAGGGTGTTCAACTTTTAATCGTCGTTTGGAAAGCCAAGGCTTATTCTCTTTGTCTTCTCATTGGAACTTTTTCTCCATCACCTTTACTTAAGGGTTACCATAAAGCCGTATTATCCCCCTTCCTGCTTGAACACACTGATCTGAATTGATTTCTTTATATCTTCTTACGGCCCTGCCCCCATTCTCTCCAGTAGAGAAGGTTTGGTGGAACGGTAGGAGGTGCTTGGTCTAAGAGAGGGTAAGGAGGGTGTTTTACAAACTCCAGGGCTGCGCTTTTGGGAATATAGCCTTGCCTGTGAATTCGTCTGGCTCTGAACAGGCGTGCCTCTTACTGAAGTCTCAGGCGTTTTGTTCTTGTGTTCACTGCGGAACTGAGTTTAAGAGGCATGTGGACTTTACAGAGATGCAGCCTTTTTTCAAGAGACCTAGCTTCTCTAGGCTCTAATTACTTTCACTCAGTCTAGCTGAAGAAGTAAGCACATGCCCTGATCATCCATTAGTTTTGCTCAGAAATTCACACATGGCAGTAACCAATTTCACTCTTCTCCCTAAATTCCGTCCTTCCTAGTTTCCTTCCAGAGAAAGCCCTGACATCCAACCAGTTAGAATTTTCAAGTTTTCTGGAAGTTTGTTTGTTTTGTTTTTTTTCCCCCCATGGCGTTGCGTTAATATAAAAAAAAATTCCTCTCTAGCCATCCCCTTTCATTTTAAGGTGTCAATCAAATAACACCAACCACCTTCACTTTAATTTCTCAGGAGAAACCTTGCTGTTGTTTTGTAAAGGGTGGTTTCCAAATTGCTAATTAGAGGGGATTGTAGTTGCTGAGAAACAAAGATGTTTCTTTCATAATTGAAGTCTCAGAGCATGAAGATTCTATTTGGCCCAGTGGAAAGAGCTCTGGATTTGGGTTCCCATCTGGAACTTACTTCTCTGAGTCTCAGATTTTTTACCTACAAAGTGAAGGGGCTGAATTAGATTATTTCTAAAGTTCCTTCCACCTCTCAATCTATGATCTTATAATTGGGCACAAACTTCTAACCCTGGTGTTCCCAACATGGAAAAGGGGTTAGTCGTGTTGGTCTGTTTGGCTCTGGAGGATAAAACTTCAATAATGCAGAGAAGTTGAATAAAAGTAGATCTAAGCTTGGTTGTAAGGAGGAATTTCTTGGGTTTCCACTCTTCCTCCTCAAGAACTTCAAGTAGAGGTTGGATGATCTTTTGTTCAAGATGTTCATCCTCAGATGAGATGGCCTTTGAGTCCCCTTCCAAGTTTGAGATTTCATGATTCTGAGAGAAAAAAGATGTACTGATCCTGCTAACACTTTTGTCCCAGACTGCCAGCAGAAACCTAGAGTTGTCTTAATAGAGGCAAGAAGAATTTTGTTACTGCTTAAATGCCTCACTCCAGGAGAATGTAAACCCCCTGAGGGCAAGCACTTTTTTTGCCTTTGTATTCCCAAAGGCCTTCACGTGGACATTTAAAAAATGCTTGTTGAAGTGATCTATAAATCATATACCATCTTCTATGCACAACATAAGCCACAGACTTAACCTCAATTCATCAATCAATAAATACTTAAGCACCTACTATATTTTTACCAGGTACTATACAAAGAACTCAACAGCTTATATTATAATGGGTAAGACAAGAACATTATATGTGTGTATACATCTGTATGTGTGTATATATATAAGTATATATGTATCTAAAATACAAATATATGCATAGTACTTAAATTCAAAGTAGTTTGGAAGGGAAGGAGTTGAGGAGATCAAGAAAGATGAAGCTTGAGGGGCTCTATGAGGCAAAGGCCAGGAGAAGAGTACATTGGTAGTAGAAAGGCATGGAAATGGAGATAGGAGTGTCGGATGTGAGCTGGCTAGTTCAAAGGGGCCAGGTTTTGAAAGGCTAAACAGAAGAATTTATACTTTACCCAGAGGCAATAGGAAGCCACTTGAATTCAGGATTTTCTGGAGCAAGCAAGGATTGGTTTCATGGAACCCAACCCACTATGTTGCCTTGAACTAGCTTCCTGTGTTTATGAGTGATCTGCAGAGAAATGGTGATTTGTAGGGGCAGTATATGGTTATAAATTGGAGGAGGAGGAGAGAGAGAGGGTGATATGTGAAGTTGGACTGATCCCAAGATAAGAACCCACAAACCTCGGCCTCATTAGCACCCTGCTGTAATCAGCCAAAGCTAATCAGTGCAAAATGATGATGTTCAAAGCCTCTGGAGCAACTCTGATGAAAGACGATAGTGTCAGGCAATGTTAACCTCTTAGAAGGCGGTCATTGGCAAGGAGTCCATTCCACTTCTCAGAAACTGTGTCTCTTTTTAGGAAGTTAGCACACAGAGTTCACCTGCAGTGGTCAAACTAAGAAGCTTTAGTAGGGCAAAGTCAGTCTTTCCTGCCCCCTTCTCTTTGAGCTGAAGCACTGTGCTGCTTTGTCCTTGGGTCTTACAGCTGTTCAACACCTCAGAAATATTTGCTTCTCAGACTCCATTGGAAAAAACCTCACATATTTTACATTGTAAGGTACAGAAGCTATGATGGGCATTCATCTTGCACCAAACTCTTGGGTCTGAGCATTTATTTATTAAGGATACATGAATCAGGACTCAAAAGCACATTTGGGTAAAGGAGTGAAACCATTACCCAGGTGCTCCTTTAGATCAAATTCAATTAGATTCCAACTATGATAGGTGGATACAAAAAAATCACATAGTCCCTTCCCCATATTTTACTGGAGAAAAAAAACAACATAAACACAGATAGGCAGTATAGTATAGTATAGTGGAAAGAGTATTTAATTCAGTCAAAGGATCTGGATTCAAACCCATTTTTGATTTAAGTGATCTTGGGCAAATAATTTAACTTCTCTGAGCCTCAGTTTCCTCAACTGTAAAATAAAAGCCTCTATAAGCCTCTGTAGTCCCTTTCAGACTTTAAAACTCTTACCAATTCAATGACAAACCACAATTCCGGAAGGCCAAAAATGAAGCATGCTACCTGCCCCTTTTGTCAGAGAACTGATGGTCTTAAAATGAAAAATACATTTTTGGGCAAAACCAGTGAGAAAATTTGCTCTGCTTGACTATACAAATTTGTTGGAAGAGTTTTCAGGTTTTTTTTCTTTAATTATGAAATGGGGTGGTAGATGGGCATGAGAGAGAGAATAAATGTTTGTTAAATGGAAATATACTAAAAAACAAAAATTTTTAAAGTCCCTTTCAGTTCTAAACATATGATCCTATAAATAAAACAGAAGTAATTTTTTTTAAATGAGAGAGGACAAATAACTGGGGAGACGAAGAAAAACCTTTTTTAAGTTGGCACTTGAGATGAACCCAATCAGAATTTTAAAAAATTTATCAAGGTAAAAATGTGCTACTACAGGGATAAAAAAAGAAATTTTTATAAAATTGAGCTTACTTTTAAGGAATCTGACCATTTCATTGAAGCTTCATAATCTATACCTTAATTAAGTTCAATTCTGATTACTTTTTTAGTACTTTGCTGATTGTGTGACCATTCTTCATTAACAAATAGCCTTTCTTCTATCATAATCCTTAAAAATTCATTTTCTTATATGCCCTAACTTAGCAACAAGTCCTCTCTGTGAAGAAAGGGCTTTGTAACATGTTCTGACAAGTACTAGCCTATATCATTGATGATCATAACATCAAAACAGATTGAGAGTTGGAAGGGACCTTACAGTCATCTAGACCAACCCCACTTTTTACAGAGGAAACTCAGACCCTGAGAAGTGATGTGCCCAAGGTCACACATGTGGGTCAGAACTCTTTCCTCAGTACCATGTTATTGTATAATAATTAATAATAAAAACAATAACAACATTTACAAAGCACTTTAAGATTTGTTAAGTGCTTTACATCTGTTATCTTATTTGGCCCTTGTAACAACTCTGTGAGGTAGGTTTTTGTATTATCCCCATTTTACTGATGAGGAAACTGAGGCTGAGAAAGGTTAAATGACTTGAAACGGATTATGTATCTAGTTAAGTGACTGGATTTGAACTTATGTGTTTTCTTGACTCCAGAAATCTGGCACTCTATCCACTACACTACTTGGTTGTCAGAAGCAGGGGTCTTTACTATAGGATTTTTCTTTAGATATTTTGTCAAATGGTTAGGGTAGTCTGATATTGAAATGCCTTACCTAGTTAGAAGATTCTCTCCGACTTTTGATAATGGGGGTGATTTTACAATCAAGTGTCTTTTTTCTTTCTCCATCCAGGTGAAAAAAGTGACTACACAAGACTAGTCTTGTGAAAGACAGAACGCTTCTACTTGATTTCAAGATGGAAACCTTTTATCTCCGGGCCTCCTTTTGGCTCCTGTTGGCTGGATGTGTGGTCGGTGACAATCCTGAAGGCTATCACACAAATCTGAGTGACCCTGTGGATGACTTGACCACATTTCGTGGGACAGAGCCTAGCCTCCCCTTCACTACCCATCGCCCCACTTCCTTGGTCCTGCCAAGCAATGGCTCAATGCGTAACTACTGCCCTCAGAAGACTAAAATCACTTCAGCTTTCAAGTACATCAACACAGTGATATCTTGTGCTATTTTCATCGTTGGAATGGTGGGGAATGCGACTCTGCTGAGGATCATTTACCAGAACAAATGCATGAGGAATGGCCCTAATGCACTGATAGCCAGCTTGGCCTTGGGAGACCTAATCTATATTGTCATTGATATTCCTATCAATGTATTTAAGGTAAGTAGCAATGTAGATTGAACCGTAATTTATTTATCTGTGATTCCAAAGTCATGACCTGCTAGGGCCTCCATTATCTCTTGGACTTTCCCTTCTGTTTATGTTAAGGGCTATCCTCTGGTGCCTTATGACAGAGAAGAAGTTTTATTTTGAAAGGGAAAAAAAAACATCCTGGTTCTCTCCTCGTTAGTGGTAACATTGATGTTTTCGGACAGTATCTTTGAAAGCGCAGTCTTTCATAAAATAAATGTTTCAAAGTCCCCAACATTAATTGCAACGTTAATTTGATTGGTGGGTATATGTTGTACAAAAAGGAGTGCCTTTTGAAGACCTAATGAATTTTCAGGAAAGAGACACATCTTCCCCCCCCCCAGTTGTCTGAATAATTCAGGGAAAGAATCTGGTTTATTGCAATTATTGTGATGTTGTGGCTGTGTTGACCTGATTGCACAGCATTAGTAGACTAGGCAGAGGACTTACTTTATCATTTATTTATCTCCCAAAATATGGATCAGTTTGGTGCCCTTGAAGCTACAGTCATTTGAGAAAGGCAGGAGGTTTTACTTTTCTTTTCTTTTCTTTTTTTTTTGGCTTTTTGGCTTTTTGGTGAGGTGATCAGGGTTAAGTGACTCACCCAGGGTCACACAGCTAGTAAGTGTCAAGTGTCTGAGGGTCGAATTTGAACTCAGGCCTTCCTGACTCCAAGGCTGTAGCTCTACCTACTGTGCCACCTAGCTGCCCCTAGCAGAAGGTTTTACATTTAAATTTATTAAACTTCATGGAGGCAGCTTGGAATATGGTAAGAATGCTTAGATTGAAGTCAGAAAGATCATACTACTTGACCTCTGGATGGCTCAAACAACTCAATGAAAGAGATAAGCCATGGGCAGCTTGTGATCTGCTTTGATAGAGAGAATTCCCACACTGAAAAATTCACAGATCCTTCTGTAGTTGTGTTAACTGAATAAAGGATTTGAAATAGCTTATCCTCTTACCAAGGTAGACACTATTAGTACTGACACAAGCCAGAAAAGATTTGATTCTCTGTTCTTTCACCCTAAACATGCTAGGAGAAAAGGGAGACTGTAATTTTAATTTGTTTCAACCACAGGTCAAAAATCTAAGACAATTTTTCTCTGAATGACTACAAGAAAATTCAAATTAACATTTAAATTCAATTTTTTTTAGAGTAATTATGATCATACATGTAGGGCTTGACTCATGTGAGGTTTTTACAAAATTTTTTCATTCCTTTTCTTTTTACGAGCATTATTACTCCTTTTTACTGCCTCACCCCACCCCCATAGAATAGTAAGAAAACCCACTCACAATAAGTATATCTTGTCCAGCAAAACAAATTCCCACATTGACCTTGTCCAGAATTGCAGAATTTTAGTCCATTACCTCTCTGGCTGGCAATAGGTGGAGTGATTCATGTTCAGACCTCTGGCTTTGTGGTTTATCATCACATTACTCAGACCAAAGTGCCACTTCTTTGTCCTAAACAAAATTAAAAGCCCTACTATTGGGTCACCGTCATAGGATCATATATTTAGAGTTCAAAGGGACCTCAAAGGCTGTCTAGTTCAATCCTCTCTTTGATAGAGGAGAAAAGTGAAGTCCAGAGAAGTGAAGAGATTTGTCTTGAGTGACATAATTAACAGGTGTCTGAGGAGAGATCTGAACGAAGGTCTTCCTGACTTGAAGTCCAATGTCCTATCCTCTATATCATTGCTGCCTAAGGCCAAACAGGTAGTAAGTGACAGAAACAGGTTTTGAATCCAGGTCTTTGTCCTTGACCTTTGTCTTTCATATTTTTCTTCATTTCATTGTGGATAGGAACATAATAATAAATAGCACTGTATAATCTAGACCCTCCATAAAACGTTACTTTAAGTGGCAAGTTTTATCTGTTAAACATGTGATAAATTTTATTTAGTTAACAACGGATATGCTGATATTGTAGGGAGATTAAACTCCTGTCATAATCATGGGAGGCAATGTGAAGAAGTAAATAATGGAATCAGAAAGACCTGGGTCTAGGTTCTGCCTCTGGCATTCACTAGCTGTGTGGCCTAACCTCTTAGTGTTTTGGTCCAGTTCCTAAAATGAATTGCCAAAGTGTGTTAGTTCTCTAAACACTGAGAATTCTCTAAACCAATGCAATCATTGATCCAGACCAAAAACATGATTGACATAATAAAAATGATGATCAAAATCTACATTTGTCATTCTGCAGTTTACAAACATTACAAATGGTAAAGTCTTCCAAACAATAGAAAAACATTTCACATTAAACAAGGCAAAGTTATACTGTATCAAATACTTGACATTTGTTTTGTTATTGGATGTTTTCCCACCCTGGGGACAAACTCATGTGTTTCCTATTGGAATTTCAAATGGGAATTCTAAATAGAACTCTGATTAAAAAAAAATTGAAAATGTGGAATTAATTTAAAATGCTTTCTATACATTAGAGAAAACTTAAGTCTTACTTCTCTTTTCTAAAAATGTCTCCAGAATTTTCCACAAAATAAATTCAATTCTTTTTCAGAGCAGTTGTGACTATACAGCATAGGTCTGGATTCAAACAGTATTAGAACTAATAATGTCCACATCCATACTTTAATGACACCATTTTTAAAAACTGAAATCATGTGGACATAAAAAGAGATTGTACTACAGAATCTACATCAGCTATATCAATTACTGGTACTTATGGGTATGTTTTTTCCAGCACATTTTGGTTTGATCATAAATTTTACAAGGTATCAAGTAAATTATGCTAGGACTATTCTACACCATTGAATTGGCTCTGGTGTTTTGTCAGTCAACAAACCAGCATTTATTAATGTGCTGTGTGCCGAGCTCTATGCTAGGTACTGGAGAGAGTCAGACTGAGAGTTAGGGGGAAGAGAAGGGGACCAGGAAAAATCTCATGGTCTTTTTTCTACAAAGGAGCAGTTAATAAAATCTTATTTTGCAAATTTAGTGACCCACTTAACCATCAGTGATTGTATGTAGCCCTCCTTCTTGAGTACACAATTTTCCTGTAGTAACTTCAGCCCTACCTAGAGGCACAGTGATATGCCAATCAATCTAATGAAAAGAGTAATGGTGGGCCAATCAATGACTCAAAATCTTCACATTTGGGGCCACCTTTCCTAACTCTTAGTAGGTTTTTTTCTCTGAGTTAGTAGGTTGAATTTGCCACCTAGAGAAAATCCCTGGACAAGAAAAGAAAAGTCTTGAAATACTTAGAAATCTTTCCAGGCCATGGGACTCTGAGGTCCCTTGCCCTTTTTCAGGGGCCAGGCCTTGAAGTGTTTTTGGTGGTGCTTTTAGGTCAAAGAATCACAGAATTGGAAGGGACCTTAGAGGCCATTGGGTCTACCCTATCCTTTTACAGATGAGGAATCTGGGGCACAGAGGGATTAAGTGACTTGCCCAGTATGACACAGCTTGTAATCTACTTTTCCCTGTAAAATCGCCTCTCCATTTTGGCCTCACTTCTACACTTCAAAGCCAGAGAACATCTACCAAACCTCCCACCTCATTTATCAGTGTTCCATGATAACTGTAAAAATAATGGGTGTTCCTTGGCCTTGGTGAACCCTACTCAAGGAAAGCTTAAGCCACCGTTATCTCACATAGTGCTATAAATCAACTGATGGGCCACAGTCAGAAGGACCACAGGAAAGATCAGTTTTCAAACACAGGCAGAAAGTCTCAAGGCTTTAAACATGTTTGCCTACTCAGTCCTAATTTATTTTCCCCTACAGATATGTTTTTTCATAAGCAAGTACAATCCCAAAGTTCCACTGAATGAATCTGTCAGTGAATCAGCATGAATGGGCTATGGCCAGGCTATTGTATTTTTCTCTTTGTTCAAGAACTTTCAATGGCTATTTCCTACTGCCTCAAGTCTAAATGATTTGTGCTGACTTTCAGGGCCCTCCTGCTCAGGTCCTGTTTTACCTGTCCAGTGCAGTCTGCCACTGACCTTCACATGTGTCCTCAGATCCAGCAAGGCTAGTCTCATTCTCATACATTGTGATCATTTGGGCCTTTCTTCTTCCTGCCTGAAGTGTCGTGCCCACTCTCCCAAACCAACTCATTCTCCCAGGCTCAGCTCAAGTCCTGACATCTCTGTGAAGCTGTATCTGACAATTCCACGGCCGACCTTGACCTTTCCTTTCTTGGAACTCCTATTCTCCCTGTGCCCTGCTACTCAACGTTTTATTATCTATTATTCTGCTTAACACTCTAATATATACTTCCTTGTTCTCTCACAGCCTCTGTGGGCCAGTCTATTCCCTAAGAAGATTATAACCTCATTAAGGGTAGGAACCAAGTCTTCTATTCCTCTTGTATTTGTTCTGCTTTCACATTAAGAAGTGGAAAGGTGAAGAAGGACAGACAACAGGATGTCCAGGGTGGGTGGACATGAAGCCTGGTCTGGGACTGGCCACATAGTACTGGGTTAGATGACTCTGCCTTCATTCATCCATCCAGCAAGCTCAGCCTTAAGAAGGAGTACTTATTCTGAGTAGATTAACTCACCTAGGAAATCTTGAGGCTGGACAAAAACATGGCAGCAAAATGGAGCCAGGGGTTAAGTGTCAATCAGCTAGGAAGCCTCAGATCAGAGACACCACCCCAGGTCCTTTGTGTCTCAATCCAGTGTTCTTCTCACTATAGCAGGCTGATTTTCAATTATTTTTGTTTGTTTCTTTTCAAGCAGCCAAATGTAGAATTTATTGTTGGTAAGAATGCTGGATTTATGTTTCTCTGTATAATATGCTTTCTCAATTCCAAGTTCTTTTTCTGTGGAGAATGGAAGGACAAAGTACTATATAACAAGAGATAGTCTCAGAAGGAAACAAAGGAAGCTACACGCTGCTTTGCACGAAGGATTTATAAGCCTTAAAGTAATAACTTAGATCTAAAACTAGAAGGGAGTTAAGAGGCCATCTAATTCAACCTCCTCAGTTTACAGA